GGTGCACCCCAGCAGTGGGACTGTGCCGTTGGTCCAGGAAGCCAAGGATCATAGCATCTCAGAGTTGGGAGGAGTCACGCCACTCACGTTTAACTAACTTATTTACAAAAAGAGCAGTGGTTATTAAATGGGGAGAACCCACTGTGTGCCAGGAACCCTACTAGGAGCCTTGCAGTTTCTCATCCAATGCCTTGCAAGGTAAGGAAGGCTCTCCAGACAGGGCCTTGTGGTCCCTGCCATAGTGGTCACGTGCACCGTATCCCTCATGGTGGGGGCCCTGCACCCAAAAGCAGGGGTCTCTCTGCACAAGCTCAGCAGCTCATTCTTTACAGGGTCACCGCTTTTGCTCCAGCTCACTCCAGTCCCACTTGAGAACGGACCGAGAGAGCAAGTGGATTCTGGATTCAGACATATCTGAGTCCGAATGTCAGGTCTCTGGCTGAGCAATGTCTGGAGGGGGGAAATGTCTGTATTTCTACCTCTAAGCCCCAGAGGCCCCATTCCTGCAACTGACTTCCTGCCACCTAAGCAAAGGGTGCTATGAGGTGACACACAGGAGCAGTCCCATGGAAGTTAGTGACTAATATCTAACTCCTAAAAAGCCCTCCCCCAGCAAATGCAGTCCCCCCCCCACCAGGGACAGTTCTTTGAGACATAAAATGCCGACAGCCTGCCAACGAGCTCCAGAACACTATCAGGAAATCCTATAACATATTATTGGTGTCCCTGAAATGATTCTTGGTGACCCCACCTTTCCTTTCCACGTGTCACCAACCATCTGCTAAATCATCCCTTCTTGAATTTTGCCAGGCACTTCAGTCAGGTTGACTTGTCTGAGTCCTTCTCTCTGAAAGTCCAGTGCCTGCCTCCAGTCGTCTGAGGGAGACATTATGGTTCCCATTCGGGCAAAGTCTCTGGGTTCCCCACGACATTTCCAATGTCATCAGGGTAAGTCCTGCCTGCAGTTTCCATCGGGGAGTTCTTGGGATGTAAAAGATCTGGACCAGAGCATTTTAATCCACTTTAAGTCAGGGCTGGGTCTCAAGGCAAACCCTTGGGGAGGTCCAGAATGGCTGGCCAGTGCCTTCCTCCCCACCGTGTGGTCCACCCACCTTAGCATCCCCCGGACCTTATCAGAAACACAAAGCATTTCTGGCTCCTCTGCTTTCTCTTCTCCTCCCACCTGCTCCCCACCCCAGACCCACTGACTCAGAATCTGTATTTTAACATGATTCCTGAGAGGGTTTCAAACACATCATAGATGGGGAAGCACTGAACCACAGCAGTGGTTTGGAGAGTCAGCTGCACCTTAGAATTAACGGGGCAATTTCCAAAAACGTCCCTGGCCTGGCCCCTCTCCCTAGACTATCTGATTTAGACAACCTGGAATGGTGCCCGAGAGCGGGGACTTCTTAAAAGTGCACGCAATGATTCTAATGCATAACCAAGCTGCAGGCTCGCTGGACCAGCTCTCCTCCATTCCGTCGGGCGGGCCTTGCACCCCAGACCCACACTGGGCCCGCAGCTGGGGGTCACAGAGCCGCAGCTGCGCAGAGAGGAGAGCCCCAGGAACCGGGGACCTGGAGCAGCTTGATAAATATACCCCCCGTACCCACGCGGAAGTTTATACAGTCTTATTAAAGTACAGTCACATGCTGTGTTTATAACGGCAGAGTTGCCAAAAAATGGGCGTCAGTAAAACAAATCGTATTGTCACAATGGTTATTATTATTGTAACAAAACTTTAACATTTCTTACCCCTCTGCCAATGCAATCACAATGCATAATGCATTTGAGATTACTTCCAGCTGTCTCCTACTCTGTGAATGGGGACATTTCTGTGCACACAGCACTCAGACACTGTGTACATTTGCATGATAAGCAGCCGTCTCCCCATTCATGAGCAGAGACTCCTCACTGGGGACGGCCCTTCAGCGGCCACCCGACGCGTTCACACTGGGACGGGGCCCCTCCCTCTTCCTGAGCCTGACGGCCCTCCGTCTGGGTGGCAGATAGAGCCCACGCTAAGGCAGGAGAAAGGGTCTTCGACCTGGAGACTGCTGCTCCAGTTCCGGTCTGCCACCCAGGGACCGGTAAGCACAGCAAACCGTGTGTCCTTACCTGGAAATGGCGGTGGGGGTGCCTTTCCTGGCTACTGTCACGCCGTTGTTGGGCTCCCACAAAATGGTGCTTAACAACGAGTTCTGTGACAGCAGAGACCATGACGACACAGGGAACGGTCACTGAGTGCTGAGTTGGTGGCAATGTGAGCAGTGTTACCACCACAAGGGGAGAATCTGTCTTCAAAAACCTTCCAGTTTCCTGGGAAGGGTGTGTTTTTGTTTGTCCATTGTTTGTTTTGTAAAGAGAATGAAAGTTGAATGAATGACAGATGAGCGGGTGGGGCGTGGGGGGTGATGAGTAGAGCCGTGGGCGGATGCAGTGAAACCCGGATATGCAGCCCACCTGCCGTGCGCAGCACCTGACCTCTCCTAGCTCCAGATCAGTCATCTGGATGCCTTCTGGGTCAAGTGCTACCACTGTGGTGTAGCCTTCAAAGACTTCGTGATGTGTCCAGAGATGTCCTTTCCCCGTCCTTGGTTCTGTTTCCCATGCTTTCCCACCACTGCAAGGCCTGGGCTTTCTCGTCTCCATCCCTTGGCCCTCGCTGTTCTTGACTCTGCATACCAACAAGGTGCCCGGTCCCACTCATGTGACTTCTGTGTGGAAGTCCTTCCCTAATGCAGCTGGTCCGAGGAAGGTCTCTCCTCTCCCATCACAATGATAACCTTGTTTCCTTCTATCCTAAAGACTGTATACTGTTCGACACACCTGCATTAGTTCTCCTAGTGAAAGGAAGGGGAAGGAGCTAGAAGTTGTTAATGATCAGCCTAGGTACCCCCACTCAGTTCTAACAACCGCCCTGCAAGGAACTTAGCACTGTCGTTCTACCAAAGCAGTAACACGGGCTGTGAGAGATTGGCAGACCCGTCTCAGATCCACCAGCGGTGAAACTGGCACTTGAACCCAGGTCTTTGACTCTGGATGTCTCCATTCTCTCCACTACAGCCATGGGAAGCTGCCTAAACTCCTGCTGGACGCTGTTCCTACCACAGCGGATTCATCTGTAAAATGAGGGGGTTAGAGCAGTGGGGCCCCAAACCCAGAGAAGAGCAACTGGTTGATAAACGTTGCTTATTGTATCAGCGTCACTGGTCTTTACCTGGGACTCCTCCCTGCACAGCACCCTCAAAGGACCCCGATCACTGTCGTTTCTGAAATTAAAGTCGAAGCCCTGTGATCTGATTCCATGGGGACCACTAGCAGGTCAGTGGGCTAGAGAAGTTCATTAAGGAAGAAGATCACATATGCCTGAAAACCGTCCCTTCAACTGTAGACACCTGATGCACTTGAATTTACCAAACACCTGCTCTAGGGCCCCTGACTTTCCTGCTAGCACGGGGTACCCACCAGACTTGGTGTCCACAGGCCATACCCACCCACGATGTAGCGCCTGAGACTTCCAGTTCGGGTTTCTTTCGCATGCAGCCAGACCGGGAACACGCACCTGGGAATCAGTGAGCAACATCCTTCCAAACTGTCATTTCCCCGGAAACCTTTAGCAGCATCTGACATCCCTTTCTGCAGTGACTTCCCTTTATAGCACCTTTTGAACGCTTTTATCTTAAGTTTCGTAGCTACAACAAGTCTCTTTTTGCATGATTTCATTGGCTTCCATGAAATAGGTAGCATTTCATTAAATGAACTCATTATAATCACAGGGACACCGGAGGCAAGGAAGACTGGGGACAAGCCAAGTGGCTCTCAGTAAGTAGCAGATGACCTGGTAGGACACACCTGGGCAGGTGTGGCGACAGCAGCCCCGGCAGGCCCCGCACAGCCGCTGGGGAGAGTGATGAGCTGAGAAGCTGCAGTTAATTCCAAAGACAGCATCTCCTGTCATTCCCTGGGATGCAGTGGGAAGCAGGAACCACAGATTTCTTGAATCCCCCCAAGCAAACTGCCAGTATAAAGAGCCAGGAGTAGAAGGAAGCTTGGCCTGGGTTTGTATCTCCACCTCATCCCTCATTAGCTGTGTGACCTTGAACATGCCACCCCCTCCCCCTTGATTAAAATGGCGATGTCATCAATCTCGCTGGGAATGGAGTGAGATGTTGCGGAGAAGACGCTGAGCACACAGTAGGTGCTCCAGAAACGGGAGCTGAGGCTACAAGTTCATCCTGGTGGTTTCTGGTATCTGGCCTCTCATTCAGTGGGTTGGAAGAGGTGGCTTAGCCCCCCTCCTCCCCGCCTCCAGCACAAAGAAGCCATTTCGAAATTAGCATTTACGAACCCCTCAGACGCTCACAAAGCTGAGACGCACCACTTACCCTGTTTGCACTTGCAGAGCTTCTTCCTTTGAATTGGAAACGAAACGCACCCAGACACGTAGACTGTGGACTATCAGAGCCGCTACCACACTCAAATGCAGGGTCAAAGCCCACAGCACCCTCCGGGCTTCAGGCAACACTCCTATTTTAACTGCAAATCTGTGGGCCTTTTTTGTGAATTGCATTTGGTTTTCAAGGGAAGGGGGCGCCTAAGTCACAGGGTCATTTACAGAAGCCACATCACAGACATGCGCCCTAATGCATATAACCGGACAATATGGTAACAGAGCCTGATTGGCAGCCAAACACTCTGAAATCTTAAGTAAGCCCTAAATCACAATCATTCTAACATTGGTAGTTGACAGACCTCCTTCGCCTAAGTCACCGTGAAACGCCTTCTCTTTGTTTTCCGCGTTGGCAGAAACAGGGAATGACTTGCGAGTAATCTTTTAAAAGACGTTCTATTGGAGCAAGTTGTAATAAAATATGCATAATACACACTTAATAAAATGCAACACCTCTGCTATAAATTGCTTCATTGAGGTACAGAAATATATTATAACCCATAAAGCGCAGGCGAGAAATGGAATGAAGCAGAAGTTGCCTTTATTGTCAGTTATTTCTGAAATGGTCTGAAATTGAAGATAATGATTATACGTGGAAAAAAAGTTTATCAAATGCAGTACGCACGGTGTGGGTGGCAACTTCTGACTCACGGGTGGATTGGTGCCCTGGAGGGGGGCCTAGACATTGTAATTCACAAGAATTATAATTAACGAGGAAAAATTACTCATTTATTTACATTCCCAGTGGAACAATAGATAGATTATTTGCTAAAAGTCCCTTAATGACCCCAAAGTCTATTATGACTGTAGAGTGCCATGGCCCCATGTTCAGAGGATAAAAACTAAAAAAAAAAAAGAAAACTTTTCCCCCCACAACACAGTTCCTTTAGAACTCCTGCTAGACATTTCTTTTATGGTTTTTTAAAAGTTATATTGGTTTTTTAAAATATCAAAATATTTTATGCAAAATATTTCATTTTTAAAAAATTCCCTCTCGCTCTCGGGAGAATGCATGTGCAATTGTTAAAGATATACTGCAGATTGCAATAAATTCTGAAATTAACACTGCATATATTTTCATATGATGTTTACATATGGGTAGGGTTTTTTTTAGACTCCCTATCTTTTTTAGATTTATGAGATTCTCTACAATGAGATTTTGTGTGAGTATATTTAAATTTCATATGTGTATATATTTATACACACACCAGAGCAAGATTACATACTCGCTTTAATTTCTCCCAATCTTAAAAACTCATAAAATATTTAAGCTGTTTCAGGACCAGAATAGAAATGCCTCAAACCGTTGTTTAAAATTACAGCCAGCCTTCACCTACCCATGCTAATGAATGGGGCCGTGTAACGGAGAGGAATAGCAATCACAGGACTCAGTGCACGGGGCCCAATGGCCAACCTCGTTCTCAGCCGCTCCTGCCCTCCTCCAGCCTCGCCCACAGATCTCCAAAAACAATTCTGTGGGCTCTTTCCTCCTTGCCTGTCACCCCACTGATGAAACTGCCAGTCGGGAATACAATGATCAGAGTGTGAGTGGAATGAATAATCGAGCAACTGTGGCAAACAGCTAGGGGTCAGTTGATGTAACGGTTCCCATGGCTTCATACATCCATTCAGCAAAAGTTTATTGGGAACTTAGTGTGAGCAAGGCAGCGGGTGGCGGTTGAGGCTCTGAGGACAAACGTGTGGGACATCTTTTCTGCTTTCATGCTGTCTGCAGAACAGGAGGGGAAGGTGGGCTCTCAGCGAACCGCACAGCGAATTGCAGCCGTGAAAAGCAGCACAAGAAGAACCGCAATACAGAGTGAAAGTACACGCCTGGGGCTCCTCGCTGGGTCTGCCATGGGGAATGGTCAGGGGCCATCATCCCACAGGAAGAGACCCTCATGCTGAGCAGAACCAGCAGAGGGAGTCCAGGCGATGAGGCGGCACAAGCAAAGGTCCCGGGGAAAGGAGAGGCTAGCGGGAAAGAGAGGTAGCCTGTGTGTGGCCGGACAAAGACAGCAAGGGGACAGCTAGGAAATGAGGTAGGCAGGATGCACAGGGACGCTGGAAAGGTGAGTTACATTTTGGATTGGATCCTGGTTGCCATTGAAGGCTGAAGTGGGTCTTGACCTTGGGACAGGACCACACCTTCCTGTGTCAGCGCTTGCTCTGCCGACTGTGTGGAGAGCCAGCCTGAGCAGCCAGGAGCTCACAAGGTTGAATTCACAAGATTATGTCGACGTTCCCTCTGAAATTCACACATTGGAGCCCTGCCCCTTAGTGACTGTGTTTGGGGCCTAGGTCCCTCCAAGTGACAATTCCGTTAAAATCGGGCCATTAGGGTGGGGGCTAGTTCAATCTGACAGTGTCCTTACAAGAAGAAGAGATGAGGACACGCAGAGAGAGCCAGGGATGCAAGCCCAGAGGGACGACCCCGAGAAGAGGGTGGCCGTGTGCAGGTCAAGGGGAGAGGCCTCAGCAGAAACCGAACTTGCCGGCACCTTGACCGTGGACTCCCCGCCACCAGAACCATGAGAAAGCACACTTCTGCGGTCTGAGCCCTTCATTCTGAGGGATTTGGTTAGGACAGTCCAAGCAAACTGGCGCAGCGTCCAAACAGAACATCGTGCCGGTGAGATTTGGCATCGGGGGTGAATAGCTGGACCAATGAAACGTGCTCAGCGCGATGCCATGCCACTCCAAGGTGAACTGGGACTTCTTCAGTGTCCAGTGACAAAGGTAGAGATGTGTCCCGGTGCGTGAGTTAGAGGAAAACTCCCCTAGCCTCGCTGCGGGTAACGCACAAATGCGAGGAGCCACAGGGCATGCCCGCCAGGGAAGGCTCCGGCGCCGGACGGAGCACCAGCGGAGGGCAGGAAATTGCTCTTTCCATCACAGGTTGGCTTCTCGGACTCCAGAACTCCCTGTGAAGGACCGACACTGTGTGCACTCGCGTTTCTGGGACTCAGCCACGTTATTTCGGTAGCTTGTCTCTTCGCATCACCGAGTGGCACCCCCCTACCTGCCACGGTCTGTCCGCTCATTTTTCCTGGTGAGTTGTCCTGAGTAAAGCTCCTGTGAGTGAGTCCTTTTGTCCTGGCCTTCCTGGGGACATGTGTTTTTATGTTTCTTGAGTAAATAGTTAAGGGTTTCGGGGGTCGGGTCACCCCGATGACGGAAGGGCAGTTTACTAGGAAACCATCAGACTTCTTTCCCCACAAGGATGGAGCCATTTTCACTCTCGCCCCAAAGAGGAGCATTTCCACTGCTCCTCAGCCTCAGTGACCCCTGGTCATCGTCAGTCTTCTTAACGGGGGCTCTCATCGGTGGGTGGGAGTCTTCTCGTGGTGGCTTTAATTGCATTTCCCTCGTGACCAGTAATGCCAAGCACCTTTGCACACCCTTTCTGGTCACTCAGATAGCCTCCTCTGGAGAGCTTTGGTCAAATCTTTGCCCAAACTGTTGTCACTTTTCATTTCCTGCGTGCCCTGGAAATTCAGAGATGATACACAGTCATGGGTTAAACAGAGATCCAGACACACACCTGGACTTTGGCTCAAGAAACCCCGTGAACTCAACAGAGATGGAGCAAGAAACTAGTGTGTCTGATGATTTTCAAACCAGTGACTTGTCATTCTGGGGGCGGACACAGCACACCTTTTTTTAGAAGCTTCTTCTGGAAATTTTTTAACTTACTTGAAAGTCTAAAGAAAAGTAACACAAACCCCCATGTAGCCATCGTCCTGACTGAGCAAGTGCCAACATTTTGCTGAACTTGTGTATCTCTGCTTTTTCACTTTTGCCGGAATATTTTAAACCAACCCCAGACATTGTCTAGCCTCACCCGCTCATGGCGTACCACCCTGACATACAGAACATCAGTTCTTCATCGGGTTATAACTGTGGGGACAGAAGCTCTCAGTGGAAGAAGATGCAGATCCAAGTTTGACCAGATTGAAGTATAAAACCATATGATCTGAAACAAAGTTTCACCCTTAATTTGAACCACAAAATCCATATCTTAGTAACGCTGTCCCATAAAGCCAATTGTTGCTCTTGGCCTCTCCAAAAGGGAAAGAAAATAACATATACATTATCTTTTAGAATACACCTAAAAACTAAGTTGAAAACTGAGACTCGCTCACTTTGTTTTAAGAATGATTATATATATCTCCTTATACCTTATACAGAATTAATAGTTATTTTTCAGTTTTATGAGTTTACATCTTAGAAAGGAACATAGGGTTCAATGTTTCTGTGTGCATTACATTAAAATTACATCTCTTAAGATATCCGAAAGTAGAAAGGATGATCGAATACAACATCTCCTTTCTTTTTTCTGTAGCTGAGTTTCTCCACTTCGGCACTACCCTCAGTTGCTCCTGTGAGTCCTTTTTGTGGAGACCGTTCTGTACATTGTAGTGTGTTTACCAGCAGCCCGGAGGCTCTGCCTACTGCATGCCAGTAACAATTTCCCAGTGGTGACAACCCAATATCCCCAGATACTGCCAGATGTCCCTTGGGTGGGAGGGGACACCTATCGGCCTTGTTCTATAGGAATGACCTCCTGGGCATCAGCAGATAGTCAGTTGAGCATCTGTCTCTCAAAGCCATGGTTCCCTTGCCTGATAAATAGACACGATTATACAGAAGAGGGTAAGAGTGTGTGAACCTAGCACGGGAGGTGTTAGGTACTGGCAGGTCGTGAATTGGCTATGATGGGGTACATCTCTGCTTTAGGCATGGGCTGGTGGAGAGATAGATGAGAAAACAGTGAGAGACCTGGGCCCTCCAGTTGCTTATGGTGAAGAGAAGAAGAAATAACTGGGGTTGAGTCTGAACCTCACCCTCATCTTAGGCCAGGAACTGCAGGGGCTCAAACGCATAAGATGAGGCCCCTGTCCTCCAAGAACCACAGAAGGCCAGTAACCAGGTCTACTAGGATACTTCACCCAGGGCCTGGCGCATAGTAGGTGTTCATCATATGGGATGGTGACAATGAGGATGAAGAAGAGCTAAGAGAAGTGGCAGAGATGATACGTGGCTTTAAAAAGACAATCCAGTGCCACGTGGCAGGAGGTAGGACAGTTGAATGGACAGTGTGGATGGATGTCAAGGCCAAACAAGGTTTGTGTTTACAGCCAGCCCACTCCTGCCACCGATGGCAAGTGTCTGAGCAACTTGCTAAGCCACTCTGAGCCTCAGCGCCATCATCTGTCAAACAGATAATCACCCCTCCTTATAGAATTATTGTGTATAAGGGTCTAGCCTAGTGCTTAGAACATAGACAGTCCAAAATGTTTTCTGTTGGTATTTACTATCATTATTATCATTTCAAACTAACTGCATCTGTGCTGAAGGAACTCATACTACAATGGGCAGTGATTAGCAACTGGACAGTACGAACTGGATAATTTTATGGCGATTTTGAAAAAGGAGATAGAGAGAGAGAACATAAAGAGAGGCAGGCCAGCTCCTTCATCCACCCTGGAAGAGAGATGACGTCTCATGTGAATCACCAGGGTGGGCGTGAGCGTCAACACCACATGGGACAGCAGGTGGGGCGTGCCCCGGAAACCAGGGCCAGCTGTTTAGACCCCATAGAGACTTCTGGATTTTTGAACAATAGGGATTCAAAGTGGTCAACATAAAGCTTGACTTTGGTGCAGATTTTAAACCCAAGTTTTGTGCAAAACCAAGAAGGCGCTGTAATCACATGAAACACAGCCTCACCGTGGGCGCCTCTGTCTCTCACATGGTCTGTCTGTTCCACTCGGTGCCTTTATGGGGTCCCCCACAAGCCTAGCTTTGCATTTTTATGCATCCATCTCAGTTTAGCCTCTTGGAACCTGCGGTTATGAGTACATTACCACGGAAACCCCTCTTCTAAAGTAGGAGCCACCTCTATAGGCTATAAATACAATGCAATTAGCCTATCAAGTGCCTTATTACAAGACATGAGAGGAACACCTACATGGACTCCAAGATCAGCGGATGGGATTTCTGTAGAGAGAAGGTCTTTTTAAAAAAGGTTTACTTCGTATGGAATGCAGGGGTGCAAAGGAACAAACCCACAAATAACCAAACCCATTTTAATCAGTGCATGTGGGCATGACTTTTATCCTCCGATTCCCTGGTCTCTGACTCCTTGCTTCACCACGTAGCCATCCTAAGTCCAGTGGTGGGTGCCCAAATGCGAGCAGAGAGGTCTTCGGTCATGAGACATTTGCAGAAACAAATCACTAGAGGAACTGTAAATGCCGCAGCCTTTGGGGAGAGTAATCTGGTGATATTTATTACTTTTTAAAATTTTATCACTTTTTAAAAAGATTTTATGTATTCATTTTTAGAGAGAGGGGAAGAGAAGGAGAGAAATATCAGTGTTTGGTTGCCTGTCACGTGCCCCATACTGGGGACCTGGCCCACAACCCAGGCATGTACCCTGACTGGGAATCGAACCATGGTTGTTTGGTTCGCAGGCCCGTGCTCAACCCACTGAGCTACACCAGCCAGGGCTGGTGATATTTATTACTTCTTAAAATGCATGTGCTTGATGATGCAGAAGATCTACCTTTGAAAACCCATCTTACGAAAATGAAAGAAGGAAACTGCAGGGGTAGATGCGTGTAAGTGAACGTTAATGCAGAACCAATGTTGTGGCAAACCCAGAAAGCCCAGTGCCTGCCAGAACTGCCACCAACAGTGACATGGGTGGACGGCCCGGGTGAGAACCCCAGTGTGGAACACGGCGCTGCAGTTTTCAATGGAATCACCGCTGTGTGGACTACAGTCACGTCTACTGACTCAAAGAACGATTATGAAAATAGCCAGGTGTGGAGGATTTTGTACACGTGGTTGCACCATCTTTGCAAAAGAAGAATCAAAAGAAAAGAAAGAAGAGGAAGCACAAGAAGAAAGGGAAGCAGGGAAGGAAGGTGAGCTGACCACGCCCCGTTCTCCCGAGACCCCCCTTCAGCCTCGCTCACCTTCCTACATTTCCATTAGTCAATGTCCCCTCAAGGTGACACCTCTCCCTGTATTGTCAGCTGAGGGAACAGACTGCAGTGAACTGACTGCACAAATGATGGAGGAATCCAAGAAACTAAACAGAGGAGGCCAAGTAACCAGAGGTGAGCCCGTGGCGGGGGGGGGGGGGGCAACCCTCCTTGAACCCCCAGGACCACAGAGACATGGGGAGGGGATGGAATTAAGTGGAGCAGCAAAGGCCCCGTGGGGAGCCAGAGCCGTGGAGGAAGGAAGGAGAGAATGCGCATTCCCTGGGTTTTCTGTGCACCTAATGATTCGCACTGACCTCAGCAGTAATAATGATAACAGACTTAGTCCCATTCCTTATTAGAGGGGTAGTTTCAATTTTGTTATTAATAGTTTCTATTTACTAAGCACCTACTCTGTGCCAAAGGCTACATCAACTTTTTATAAACACATCTCATTTAATCGTCACAACAAGGCTGGAACTGTTGTTTATTTTATAGACAGTGAAACCGAGACTCAAAGAGACAAAATACTTTGTCCGTTACCACACGCTGAATAAGTAGAAGTTCAGAGTGTGAAGGCCATTTTTACTCGCAGCTAAACTCTCCAGCATTTCAACTTGCCTGACTATAATAAATCTGGACTGGACCGAAGTGGTCCTGACACTTGCTGTGGTCATTTTAATAAATGTCACAAATTCTTAGACACTCCTTCCATTAATGGGAATCTACCACTGGAGTCTGGATGGTTTTGTGGCTGTTTCAACCAGTGGGGACCATGTGACTTCAGAGGCCCAGCCATAAAAAGGTCATTTGGCTCCTTCCCTGTTCCCTGGAACACTCACTTTTCAAGCCCCAGGTTGCTCTGTAGGAAGTGTGACTCCCCTGAGGCCACCATGCTGTGAGGAAGCCCAAATGTCCCTTGGGTGGGACAGGGCACCTCTCCACCCTGAAAGGCCAAGTGTCGGCAGCTCAGGCCAGCAATTGCAGCCCAGACACCAGACACGTACGCGGAAAACAGCCCAGCAATCTTACCTCCCTGCCTGCCATTCCCTTCTTCCCAGCTGAGGCCCCACACTGTGGAGAAGAGAAGACAGAGTCTTCTCCAGAGTCTAGAATTGCAGACTCTCGAGCAAAAGGAATGACAACCAGATTACCTGGTGGCTCCAGGCAAGGACCGCAATGCAGAGACTTTCAATAACTTTTCTATTGAGGAAATGAGTAAGAAAGACACGTTTTACTCCTTCCCATCCATAATGCATGCATGTGAAAACACCTGATAAATCTCACAGCACTTCTAAAATGTAAGATCAGCTCAAAGGAACTACCTGAGAGAAAGCATTTGCCTTGTGATTCATAACATTTTCAAGGGAGAAAGAGCTGGAATGGAGCCATTGAACCTTTGGGAGCTCAGCCAGTGGTGAGATAAGAAGGTGTCTCGGAAACTCACTTCTGCTGTCTAATCCGGACTCCTGAGTTGAGGTGAGCACCTGGAGCAGGATGACCTTTAAAGAGCACAGGAGACGTGGAGTTTCCCGGCCAAGTCTATGCCCCATTGTAGATGGTAATTTGGCATCTGGCAAAGAGAGGGCTCCTTGTACAGCAAATGTACAAATACATTTCACTGGGTAATTAGAATCGTAGCTGAAAGTTAATAAGCTCGCTTCCCGCTTTGCAAGCCCACACTCTGTGTATGACCCCAGCATAGGTCAGCGTGGCCAGGCCTAAGCTTGTCCACGAGCAGACAGAAGCCCAGGATAAGATCCGTGGGGGTCTCCATTAACCAGTCAGTGGCTTAGTGACCACTGCTGTTTTATTCTGGTTTGTTGTGCTGATAAAAAGAACTTACCATCTATGGAGGTCCACTGTGTGCCAGGGCCCTCAATGTTGTGTAATAAAGTGGGTGTGGTCATGCCATTTTGGAGGAAACTGAGACCCACAGGACATTTTCTGATAAGCAGCAGGGCCAGCACCTAAGTGCACCTGCCCCTGTGGTCCCTTCACCTGCAGCACTGTCCCTCTGCTCCCTCTGTCTTGGAGGACGGCTGGCCGTGTGCTTCTGTGGCAGGGACTGGCTGAGTCCGGGAAGGAAGCAGTGTCATTCTGGTACCAGCTCTGATCATAGGAATGCTGTTTGGGGACAACACAGGCACTCAGCCTGCCCCTCCTGTAGTTTCTCCCTCTGGACCTGGCTTCTAGAACGGGGTGGCTGTGCAGAAATAAGACCAGAGGAAGCCAGATTGCAATCGGATGGAGAGTAAATGAAAGAATGGGATGTGGACCGCTGTTCCTAGAGCCGTGGCCTTGAAGAGAAAAGGAGAACTCGGGCTGTAGCTGCAGGGACGTGGAGTCCAGGGCGGTTCTGTGGTTATTAACTAGAGAGAAGAGACCAGCTCTGACACAGGCCAGGGCAGCTCACTGACTGACCCCAGGCGCCAGTGCCGGGGAGACACGGTCATCTCCCTGCGACAGTAACATGGTCACAGAAAACCTCCAGTTAAGTCCAGCCCCAGTGCATCCTGATACTTGGGCAACCTCAGATCCATGTGCGTTCTTACATTAAAAATGTCCAGTTTGGAGGTTTAGGAGTATGAGGAGCACAGCTCCTTTTAACCTGTGAATGACTTCCTTTTTATTTCCTCAGAAAGTTGTTCTTAGGATCACATTACCTATCGGTGGTTTTTTTTAAAGCCTTTAGATTTATTTAGGCTAAAAACAAGAGGCTTGTTTTCATTATAAATAGGCTTTTTAGTTTTCATTTACATCACGTCCAGGTAGTACAGCTGGACAGAATGAGCTCGCCACACCAGGCTACCTTGTCCTGAAATTACACTGTGACAACTTATAAGGTAGATGGGCCCATTCCACCCACAGCGCAGAACCTGGGTAAATGGCGAACAGGATATGTTGTCACACCCACTGCTCGCTGCTGACAAAAGCTCCAGAAGGCTCCAGAACTCTTCCTAGTGCATTGGACCCCCATCTGCAGCTGGCTATAGCAGCAGGAAGAGCACAGGACGGGAGACCTGGGTTGCAGACCTGCCTTTGGCACCCAGAGCATTTCCTGGAGCTATCGTCTCATCCTCTGATCTTCCCGCTACGAGCTGTAAATTTGGGGGAAATCTAACAGCATTGCCCTCCTCGTCGACCGGCCTTGAAGATCAAACGAGAGAACGCAGTCAAAGCAGTCAGCCCCGTGGCAGGGTCAGAGGCAGCCCTCAGAAACAATGGCCGTGGCATCAGGTCACCTTTATCCAACGCCTGCTCTCCCTTAGGCACAAGTGTTTTATAAGGATCCTGTCACTTCATCTCACCGGATGAGTAAGTCAGCAAAGTGCCTGAGAGCTGCACTTCGACTTTCTGGTCCACCTGGCCACAGGGGGGAAGCAGACTTGGCAGAAGGCTCAGCCGCATGGTCACTGAGTCACAAAACTCTCCACATAGAACCTGGGGACCGGAGAAGGGTACAGGCACCTTCGTTAATGGAATTTTGCCTTCTCAACCCTTTTCTGTAATGTCAGAGAATTCGCTGTAGTGTTCCTCTCAACCCTCCACTTGCATAGTCTCAATGCTCTCCCAAAATGGGCATAGTCATTGCTAATTAGATTACCTGACAGGTTTTGTTTTTGTGAAAACTCAATGAAATAACAGCTACGAATACATGTTATAAACAAATGAAGAAGGTAAGGGTGAAAATCTGTTAAAATAAACAGGAGTTAGGGGTCAGTTAATGCACCTTTGTTACTTTTTTAATGTATTTTCTGTGTTTTATGCAATTACCATCAAGAGTATGTATCACTGTTATAATGAAAAGAGAAGATTCACTTAAAAGCACTTGCTAACCATGAAATTCTACAAACATGTAAAGCCCAATGATTACACAGGAAAAATGTGGTATTGGACTTGTAGCCTCAGAGATTCTAACCTGTGCATTTTATTTGGGAGCACCATGTATCATCCATCAGGTTGTAGAATGCAAAAGGCCGAGCAGGCAGGTGGGGACTGGAATCCAGCAGGTGCTCTGCTGGGCCCCAGCCTGTGGCCAAGTCTACCTGAAGGAGCACTTTCCCTAATTTGCATAGTCTCCCTAGATATTCCAGCTGCCCATTTTCATGCTCTCCTTGCCCTATTCTCTGTTCAGGGACACAGTGCCCAGCACTAAAGGATGGGTTAAGTGTACTGCCCCAAGGTCAAGAAAATAATATGAAAGGCATTGCCAGGAGAGACTCATGACCCCAGACGGATTCTTCCATGTCAGAAGCATTGTCACCAGATGGGGAAGCAGGTAACAGGATCCCAAGTGAATGTACAAATGAAGGCAGACCAGTGGCAGTGGGGACAGCAGTGACATTCCTGGGGAGCTACAGGTCAGCTGGCAAACCAGGGGACAGGCAGTGCAGGGGCTACAAAACAGGAAGCATGAGGCAGCCAAGCCGGGCATTTGGCTGTGGATTGAATAACATAGACTTGAGTTTTGGCGATTAGGGGGCTCTCCAAGACATGGGAAGAAGAGGAGGAGAGGGGTGCGCATACCTTTCCAATGGGAGAAAATTGAACGGGAAGAGGTTGACCAGCTGTCCAGCATCTCCCCTGCAGGCAGATAGAGCAAAAAAGTGTTTGACTACAGTTTAGGGGGTTAGAATACTGTTAAAAAACAATATCATAAATTATAACAGTAATAGAAACTGTAAGAAAGAGCAAAAGGATGGCATGGAATTGCCCCTATTTGACCAATTTCTTACTCTGTTTAGCGTCTGTGAGAGTTTAGCTGAAGGGGTGATGCTGCAGGGAAATTGCCACCCTGCTCCAGGTCTCATCTGAGAGCAGAGACGGTAATCAGACGAATGTCTCGCACCTGCGACTCTGAGCGGAGGACCGAGGTGGGGACTGACTATTTTCTCTGTCCCCTCCTCACCCATCCAAAGCCTCTGTCCCTGAAGTAGCTGTGCCCTATGTTTCACACTCACAGTGAGAAGACACACAGATTGTTCTGCACAGAGCTCCAGCTCAAGGGCAGGCAGGGTGGAGGGGATCACAGCAAAAGGTTCAGCGCAAGAACATGCCCCCTGACCTTCCACTTCTCAAACGGATCACAGAGAAACACGCCGGCGGCACCTCCTCTCTGGGAACGTCTTCAGTAACTGGCACGGAAGCAACACCAGATGTGTCCCCACACAGGAAGTGCCGGGGCACAGCATGGCTGTCACAACGGAAGAAACAGACTCAAAAATGAAAGGAACCAGGGCGAGCGTGAGGACCCAGCTACCAGGCATGACATGGCCCGGTCCTTTGGACAAATCCACTCCAGCCACTTTGTCCCTGTCTTGGCTCACCAAGAACAAGACTCAAAGTCTAGAGAGAGAGACAGAGAGAGAAGGGGAGTGGAGCTGAAAGCTGACCCCCTCGGCCTGGGTCACATACACACACAAAGAGAGAAGGGTCAGCGACAGCCGGGCAAGACCTCCCGCAGTGGGTGGGGGCAGCTCTCCCAAAGCAAAGGAGGGCTCTATTCCCAGAAGAAGCAGAGAGCAAGCCACGGCCCCAACCCGGACTGAGACATGCTTTGAGAGCACAGGTCCCAAGTGTGGCTTTGGAACCCGTGTCACCAAGGCCATTTCCCCAAAGTGACATTACCACGGAGGAGCAGTCCAATGTGTTTACTTCATGGTGCAACGAAGAATTCTACTCATCAGTCCTTCTACAAACAGTTCATGAAGCACCAACCCATCCCCAGCACAAAAACCTGAGCTCAGAGAAGGTGCTGGAAACATGTGCTCCCAAGACCCTCCGGTGAAGTAATGAAAATCAGGGAATCCCCCCAGGACGAGGAGGGAGAGGGCTCAGATGGAAGCTGGGCCCCAGTTTCTAAAACGCGCCTGTCAAAGTTTTCCAGGGCGCTCATTACCCTCAGGGCAAGAAATTAAACCCTGATTTCATCTCTCAGTTTTTGTGACTCTGTGCATGTCTACCTTAATGCTGCAAAATCTATATTTGGACGTTTTAAAAAAAACTAGGTTGGATGGGGGAAATAGGCAAGATATAAAATAGTTACTAATTTTAACACGTTTTTTATAATGAAGGCACTGCTTTGAAAATCTTCTGTTTTCACATATGTGGATGATTTAACTTGACTTATTAACTTCAGTAGAACTAAAAGATGTTTTTACTTCTGACAACTTCTGTGTTCTGAGCGTTCCACAGCTCGGCCGGCAGCTGTTACTGCGTGACCACGGAATGGGCCACCTTGAACCAATTTATTCCCGACATTCCAGGAGGTGTGCAAAGGGGCTTTGCAGCCACTGATCCCCAGAACTTCTCATGGGGGCCAGGTCGCCTGTCGGCCCCCCAGCAGCAGAATAAGATTCTTGAATACACAGCCTCTGGCACCAAATATGAAAGAAAGAGGGGAAAAAAAGCCCCTGGAAGCTCTATTTTGTGTCAAAATTTTCTGAAAGGATCAGTCGAGGCCTTGAAACCAACCTCACGAGGCCTGGCATCGTCTAAGGGGCTGCAACCAAGGGATGGTTGTGTTTCGTGGTGAGGGGGAGGAAGAAAAAAGGAATAAATTCCTAAAAATGACCTTGTTCACCATCATTTGGGCTTCTGTTCCCGAAAGCTCCTTGGGAAAGTGATCACAGAAAATGGTGCCTCTGCCCCTCTCACTGGAAGTCTACTGAAATCCCCCAACCCCGACTGTAAGGGTTCACAGCAGCGGTGAGAGTGGTGGGGGTTTGACTGGCACCCCTTTCCGCGGGAGCCGAGTCCTGGGAGCCCACGTGAGCCTGCAGGAACACCGACCCTGAGGAAGCCCACGCAGCCCCAAAGTCCAAGAATGTGCTGGACGGCTGCCCGCCCTGCCCCTCAGCTCGATGCCCCAGATCAGCACAAAGCACCCCTTTGAAATTTTCCTGCTTGCTGGGAGGCGAAGCCAGCCAGACCCGGGGGTGAGTGCAGCAGGCCTCTGCTCAGGGGTCTTCCTGCCCAAGACCCTCCACAGAGCCCTAGAATTTGGAGAGGGGAGACACACCCTGCTGGTGACTCGCTGACAGCCCAGGGTCCTCAACGCCAGGTGATGGCTCTACCTGATCGGAGGAGGCACCTTAGGGACTCAAGGGCAAGAACTCTCTCTCTCCAGCACCAGCGACTTGTCAGACCCAGTTGCTCAGAGTCTGGTAAAAGAACGAACAGATTAGTGAATGAATTCAAGAGTGAGGAAGTGCACAGATGAATGAGTGAGGGACGAGGCAGCCCATGCTCTCTCTCCGAAGGGTCGCTGTCTCTCGTGAGAAGATGGATTTCTCTGGTGCATATGTCAGCTACTTGCTCCCGGCCCCTGAGCCTGCAGCCCACGGCACACACGCTGCTCCCCCGTGATGCCTGCCCGCCCTCCGCACCCTCAGAAATCAAAGCGCTCTCCCGTTGTCAGGGGAGAATTTAGGATCTAAAGATCAAACACGAGAATCCAAAGATGTCTTTGAAATTGCACACACTTGTCTACGTCCCTAGTTACTGCGGCCATCTCCCGCCCCACCTCCCCAGATAAATATCCACCAAACCCAGGAAAAGGGAAGGGCTGTGTGCATCTGCCACCTCTGCAGCAGGGAAGACAGCGCAGGCGGGGATGCTACACAGGGAAGGAGAGGTGTTAGCTACGGACCAACCTGTGGTCAGTGAGTGAAGACTGGATGGAGAGCTCTGTCTTCAGCAAGTAATGAAAGGCAAAAAATAAAAGGCTGTTTATTTTTTGCCTCTTAAAAAATTTCCCATTTCAAATGGAAGCGGTTTCTCCTTAAACTGAGTTTCTGACACCCATTCATGACGCTGAGCCAGGTGCACTCCCCCAAATCTACAGTAGGGGGCCCCACAGCAGTTCACCTGCTCTACACTGGGTGGGTGTCCCTGCTCACCTCTCCGGGTACACATGTAAAAGAGCTTCTCGTCCCCAGTGGCACCCTTTTCTGTGGGTGAGGTGACATGACATCTGTCAGGAAGCACCGTTTTAAAGCAATACCACCCACTAGAGTAGTTACTTCAATTTAAATTAAATAAAGGTGAAAGACCTTTGAAGCCCACCTCCTCGGTTACCACGGCCACACCGTACATGCTCAGAAGCCACGTGGGTCTGGTGGCTACCACATTGGAGAGGTGGCTACAGAACATCTCCATCACCAGAGAACATTCTGTTGGACAGCTCCCTAGAGTACGAGAGTGGAAATGGGGGTGCCAGCCCGGGAGTAGCCAGAATGTTCAACCTCGCCAGGAGTACCAGGCTGCTGGCTCCGGTTTTCACCCCCGGCAGCCGGAGCCAGGTTCCTGCTGCACCACGAGAGGCATTTGCTATTCTATTCATCTCTATCTGGGCACAGCCATGTTATCCTCTGAGTTCTTGTGCTTTTTTATCTTTTGCTTTATGTTTTGTGTGTTGTTTAGGAAAACCCCCCAAGATCATGAAGACACTCTCCTATGAGGGTGGGGTTTTTTTCCCACTTCTATCCTAAATGCTGTTGGAACTGAAATTTTGTGTGTGGTATAAAGTAAAGGCCCAGATTTTCCCATATGGATCTCCAGTTATTCAAATTTCCAAATCCGGTCACTTCTCACTTGTTTCCCAAAGCTCCACTATATACATGCGAGTAAACTCCGAGCTCTCTATTCTAGTCCACCAGTGCAATTGTCTGTCTCTGTGTTAACATCTTGCTCATTTTTTATAACTCCAAGTTGTTTTGCCTGGAAGATCAAGCTTCCTCATTTTATTTTCTTTTTCCAGAATGTGTTGATGACTCCTTCCTCTTTCCTCTTCACCTTCCTGTGGGAATTAGTTTACTGTCTTAACGAAATGCCCCTCCCCCGGCATTCAAATTGGAGATCTCTCCATCACGGAATCTACTTCACTGAATCTCTGCACCAGTTTGGAGAATCACATCACTACAGTGCTCGGTCTTCTTCTCCAAAAATATATCTGTATTTAGGTGATTTCCATTCCTGTCAGTGAAGTTTTATCATTTCTTCAGGAAGGGGCTTATTCATATTTTATCAAATTGATTCCTGGAAACGTCGTAAATTCTTTGCCACACATAGATTTGTGCCTATATTTCCTCAGAGGTTTTGTTGATTTAAGGAAATGCAACCAACTTTTGTATATTGGGTTTGACTCTATCAATCTTACTAATTTCCAATTACTCCTCATGATTTATTTGTGGATTCTTTGGGGCTTTCTGTATCGACAGCCACGCCATCTTTAAGTAATGGGAATTTTACTTCTTTGTTTTCCATCTTCATGCCTCGTTTCTTTTCCTTCACATCGCTAACACCTTTGGCACGAGGTTGCCTATGCTGGTTACTGCAGGTGTCCTGCTGGTTTCCTTATTCTAGACTTTAAGAGATTGCTTTCAACATTTAACCATTACGTATGATTTTTGCTGTCGGATATTGTAGGCATTCTTTATCAGATTAAGAAAGTTATCTTTGGTTCAAATTGTTTAAAATATTTTCTATCTCATATGAAGAGAAGTACAATTGTATTTAACATGTTATCTATACCTATTAAGATCATCCTATGGGTTTTCTCTTTTATTTGGTTTGTGTGGTGGATTCTGGTGATCGATTTTTCCATTGAAAGGCCAATCTTGCATTTCTGGGTCAAGCCCGAGTACTTCGTGATGTGTTACACATTCTGTGTTTGTGAGCAAGGCTGAGCTGTACTGTAATGTTTCCTTCCTTGTGGTTCCTGACCTGGTTTTGGCGTCAAAGTGAGGAGTTTCAAAAAATGAGTCAGGGATCATTCCTTCCTTTTTTATTCCCTATCAAAGTTTGTATAAGATGAAATTATTGGTTCCTGGAATATCTGATAGCACTCCCCTCTCAAATCATCTGGTTCTCCTGCTTTCTTTGTGAAAAGATTTTTAACCACTGATTCAATTTCCTTAATGGTTATAGAACTATTTCCTCTCAAGTCAGTTATATTACATTCTTCCCAGTATTTTATTCATTTAATTGAGGACTTCAAATTTATTGGCATGCATGTTTTATTCATAACAGCCTCATCAATTTAATCTCTGCATCATTTTCTTATTCCTAAAACCATTTCTTTGTATGTTCTTTCTCCATTTTTCTTAATTAACT